TTCTTCCAATTTAATTTACAACAGTTGAATACAACCAACACTACATAGCATTTCAGACCTCATTCTAATTGTCATATTTATACCCTGGCAAGTTGACAAGCTTTGAAGGTCAGTTTATAGAGAGATTGCATTATCTATTGGGTTTTGTCTTCAAAAGTCTGCACTGACATCTAAACAAATATCCTGTGCATTTGGAAGACTTCTTAAGTTAACAGGAGGAAGGGGGGAGGGGAAAAGGAGAAAAGGAAGAGAAGGGAAAAGGGAAAAGGGAAAAGGGAAAAGAGAAAGGAAAAAGGAGGGTGAAAGAGGGAAGGGAAAAGTATAGGCGAAGGTGGAAAAAGGGAAGGAGAAAAAAAAAAGAGGAAAGGGGAGTGAGAGAAGAAGAGGAAAGAAAAAAATGGATTCTGCTGGGTTGGTGAATACCACAGACTTCTCACTAAGGCACTACTCCAAAGTTATTAAACAACAGAATTCACTGCAGACAACATTGGTAAAACAATAGTTACATTGTACTAGTAATAAAGGGCAATACAAAGATGAAGAGAATGTGCAGTGAGATTTGAAAAGGAGAGGATACAAGTACTAAAAATACTGATGAAGTGAGCATACTGACTGAAATCCAAGCAACCACATGACATTGAACAATTATCGTTATACATATAAATCTGACTTGTCAGTTTGAAATTATTAGATAATAAAAAAATTACTCTTTTTATAAACACTCAAAAAAGTTAATTAAAAGGACCACAAATATTTCTGCTTGTTTACTAATGCTCCAAATGAGAAAGTTTAACACTTTAGTACAGAAATTACTTCCTACCCCTTAAGGTTCCCTACACTTTGAACACAACAACAATGACTACCAATAATGAATGGCCATTTGTCAATATTATGAGCAGAGTTTATTGTAATAAATGTAGAGATGGTATATAAAAAAACAACAACTAAAGATGTAATTGGAACAATTCAACAACATTACATTAAATTCTAACAAAGATATCAAATCCACAAAGTCAGTTACACCTCTTGTGAAATTATTTATTCTCATTTATGCTTTTCCTACATTGATATACCTTTGTAGTGTCTATAAGCAGCTTACAGTACTCGTCACAAACATTAAAACAACTTTTCCTGTGTTACTCTTACCTGCTTGTACAAAACACTGACTATGAAGTCATCCTTATAACTACTATCAAGGACAGTTATAAAACTATTTAAAAAAAGGTTCAACAGTTTTCCATCAATAAATTTTCCTAAATGCATAGAAATCAGATGAAGAGAGATGCAAGAAATAGAGGAGAGGAGATAAAATAGCAGGTTAGCCATGGGTAAGGGAGGCAGAGGGGAGGGAGGGAGGGAGGGAGGGAGGGAGGGAGGGAGGGAGGGAGGGAGGGAGGGAGGAAGGAAGGAAGGAAGGAAGGAAGGAAGGAAGGAAGGAAGGAAGGAGAGAGAGAGAGAGAGAGAGAGAGAGAGAGAGAGAGAGAGAGAGAGAGAGAGAGAGAGAGAGAGAGAGAGAGAGAGAGAGAGAGAGAGAGAGAGAAATATAATGAAATACCTTAAAAAAAAAATTACTACTTTGCACTTTGTCAGGCATACATATCAGACAGTATAGTAACAAGGCGGTTATGAGACCCTGTGTCCAGCAACTGTTCTTGCAGCTGTCCAACAAGCAAGGGTTCCCTTGATCGCACAACACGGAAGAAAAGTTGCACCTCATGTGCATGGCATTCATTAAGAGCTGTGAGAACTGCTGCTAAGTCTGGGCAGCATTTTATTACTCTGACACAATAATCTGATAGACTGTCTCTCAGACTGTGAAGTTTAGCCCTTCTGTCCTCACTGCTTATTGCATTCTCCTCAGCCTTGTCATCAGCTGTGAAGACATCATCCCCACCTACAGCTGCACAGCTAGGGCCAGCTCCTACAATAGCTGCCACCACAGCTCCACTTTTCCCCCCTGAAGGTTGTCTAACGTGTCCCGGGGATCCACTGCTCCCGTGACTGTCCCCCTCCTGGCTCACCTGCCGTGTATTCGTGTGTGCCTGCCTGTCACCCCCGCGTACCGATTCTCCTTTCTGGTTCTCGTGGTCAGCTGGGTCGGTCTCCATTTTGTCCTCTTGTGATGTTCTGCTTCTCCTGCTTCTGCTTCTGCTAATGCGCTTTCGTCTAACTTTGGTGCTTTGACTAACAATTTCACTTTGATCACTTGTAGAATCTTGTGAAGTCTGGAGACCCATAATTCATTAAGATGAGATAAATTTGATTTAAAGAAGTTGTTATCCAAGGAGGGAAAGAAAAGAAAAAAGAAAAAAGAAATGACACTGACAATTCAATATGAAACAAAACAACTTGAAGTTTGAAAAAAACAAAATAAAGGACAAACAAACTGAAGAAACATATGAGTCTTACAAAATATTCCAGAGTAAAAGATATAAATGAGCCACAGAAATACCTCTGTTTATCACTTGGAAGCACTTTACCTGTGAGAGTAAAGTCTAAAAGGTGATTATCAAAGACTTGGTAACTTCATCCAGCTTACTGCTCACAAATTAGGAATAGAAATGCCCTTTCCTTCTCTTCAGTCCTCTACATCATTTAATTCAATAAAAACAATTCTCAGACAATGATCATTCAGCTACTAATTAATAACACCTTTCACTCTTTCCACTTTTAAGATCATATTTTCTGTGCTATTTTGACACGTTTTTTGCTAACATCTTTTTAGAAGAGAATTTTCAAGCATCATAAAAAAGTGTCCTCCTATTCATGTATAAACTCTACATAGATGCTTCAATGTAAAATATTATATTCCTGGCTTAAAAAATATATATTTTCTTCAACTTCTCGTAACAGGCAATAATTAATCACTGCTGTATATCTGAGCTTTTATTTAACTTATAAATAGATAATCTGAAATCAAAAGTTGTAAGCAAGTCTAAAACAAGGTAAATAAAGAGATGGCTGTATATGGACGGACACGCACCCACAACACCCACAACATACAACACACAACCCAAAACACACACACTCACACACGCACGCACGCACACACCCACACACCCACACACCCACACACACACCCACACACCCACACACACACACACACACACACACACACACACACACACACACACACACACACACACACACACACACACTCTCTCTCTCTCTCTCTCTCTCTCTCTCTCACACAAATTGTGCTTAAAGATGCTAATTTCTGGAAAAAATATCTAAAACCAAGCATTTTCTTTAAACAATAGTATCTGACATAAATAACAAATCTTTAAATTGGCAAACCTTCACAAATTTCAAGAAAAATAAAATAAAAGCTAATTCCTTCTGTTTATTTGGGTTTATTAATAATTTACAAATCACAAAACAACGGGGGAATATTTACATATGACTACCCTGTAATGCAAAATTTTATTAGATTGGGAAAAGACATGTGCTTGAAGTCAGAACAAAAGAAAGTAAGAGTAAATTATGAAAGAAGAGTAAGAAAAAGAATATATAAGAGTATATATATGTGTAGGCATTCTAAAGGGAAAAGAGGAATGCCTACACAAGCTCTGTGAAATATTATCTCCCTCCTGTCTTCAAGTAACTCTGTGAACTAAACACATCTTTTATCTTATTTATTATTCATCTATTTAGCTATATATACATCAATCTCCCCCCCACTATCTCTCTCTCTCTCTCTCTCTCTCTCTCTCTCTCTCTCTCTCTCTCTCTCTCTCTCTCTCTATATATATATATATATATATATATATATATATATATATATATATATATATACACACACTTCTTATATTTTGGTTTTAGAACTTAAAAGGCCTGGTTTACTTTATGTTAGGTAAAATCAGTGTGAACACAATTGGATAACTGACTATTATATAAAACAATTGTAGCTGGTACCTTATTATTACCTTCTATTTCATTCATTATCTTATTACATGAGTATGTTTGGCCATTACTATTTTCCCAATGCTTTTCAAATAACTGGCAGGTATTTTTCCTGTGACTTTTTCATTAACACTGATATGTAGTGTCTCCTAACATATCAGGCACTCTTTGTTAGGTTTCTTCCAGCCATACACACAATATCATCTCTATACCCCATTCCCCTTGAAGACACTCCTCTCCCTGAGCTGATCACTGGTGTTTTCCTGCCCTATTTTTTTCTACTATGCAATCATATTCTACTTCTAATACCCGATCATAAAATACTTCTGATATTTAATTACATGGCAAACCTAACATTTAATTATATTGATAAAACAAACAAGTAGGGTTTATAAATCTAGTTCAGAAGTTAAGGAGCCCCGTGGATTCCTTCACATGTCTAGCTCTAATGGATTCTCCAACAAAGTTCCTCCGATATCTTCTTTTACTGGTTCACAAGCAAAAGTCAAATAAAAGTCTCATAAAAAAGAGAGAAAGAAAGAGAGAAAATGACAAGAATGAGAACCAAAAGAGGGACCAGAGATAGAGAAAGAAACTTAAAGAGAGAGAGACACACACACAAAAACACACAGAAACAAATGGACAGAGTAGTTGCTGAGGAAGCCAGCTCAAGTAGTGCTCACCTGCCGATGTGTGTAGTGGTGTGTGGCTCCATGAGTGAGGGCCAAGAGCTTTCCTACAGGCAGCAGGATGTTGGGGTGTCTCATGGTAGGCACAAGGAGCTCTAGTAGACCCAGGGTATAGGTGAGCTTCTCGCTGCTCTCCTCCACGAAAAGCTCCTCTACGTCCTCTACCTTGACCAGGTGCTCCACATAACTTACCAAAATGGGCTCCAAAAGAGATTCATACTGATCAAAGCTGCCTGTTGATGAGCATTAGGTTATAACATTGGAAATGAAGCAGTGAGAGAAAACAAAAAACATAATAATAATAATAATAATAATAATAATAATATTAATGATAATGATAATAAAAATAATAAATTTGTATGCATGTGTATGTCTATGTATGTGCATGTATGTATGTGAGTATAGTGCACAGATAGTGGACAGTATCTGGTGAACTTGTAAAACTGAGTAGACATAAAACCGTGGAGATTGTATCAAGTGGAATGCAGTCCTATCAAAACTGAAGTCAGTTTAGGACATCTGGTTGATGCCTCATGACATTGAATGTGTGAGATATATAGAGACAGATGTGTGCACTTTTGTACAGGAGTATCAAAAGGCATATATATATACATATATATATATATATATATATATATATATATATATATATATATATATATATATACCTATATATATATTACACACAGACACAGACACACACACACACACACACACACACACACACACACACACACACACACACACACACACACACACACACACACACACACATACACACACACACACACACACAAAAAGATGAATACTACACAATCATAAACAACCTTCCAAATATTCAACCTCTGCATCTTTCATCGTGTTCCCGTCCCTCCAAACTTACTAATCAAATGAGCAGCAGGCGTGGCAACAAAGCTGTACAGGATGAGCACTCCACTGTGAACTTCCTTCGGCAACTCTTGACTGCCGCTCACTTCCGACAGCTTGAGAAATTGACGCATCACCTCCACCACACCTTCCACTAGCCCTGGTGACGTTAGAATGCATAAATTTCAGTTGTTTGGGAAACATATGTACTTCACTTTGGTAGATGATAAATGAGAATTCCTTTCTAAACAGAATGAATTTCTGAAGAAAATTTACACTTTCACAAACAGTGACCTAAAAGATGTCATTAACATTTCATGTGATGGTGTGGAACTTCACCTCTTATATTTAACCCATTGCCGCCGGGGATGGCATGTACGTACATGCCATGCCCACTGTGAATCGACTTGTTCGATTGTTTATACACATAGATGGCTACACTTGTACTAAGTATCCAATGAGCCAATTACAGTACTGCCTGTCTCGCCCGTTCACCCTTTTCATCGAATTACGAAAATATTTAACATTATCCTAATTTTCTGTTAAAAATAACACCATCTATATTTATAGCACTAGTAAAAATACGTTTTTTCCCGCCAATTCAAGGAAAGGTGAAATCAGGACTAGCAGAGCCATCTATGGACAGAGATATTTCACAAAAATATAAAAAATGAGTACTGCATTTCCCCCATTTTTTGTTCATTTTCCCTGGCGGCAATGGGTTAACAGACAAGAAAATATTTCCATTCAGGTCACAAGTGATAACAAAAGCATGTTGTGAATATTAGTAACTTTTTTCAAGCATGACACATCCTGTTAGACAATAGAGCTCTTTTCTCACACAAACATTTTCAGAATACTATATCTGATATCTACAATCAAATATTACAGAATATAATGTATAGATATGCAACAGGAATTCATATATTTTCAGTTGAAGCTAAAATACTCCCATACTTCATACAAACATAATAGCTTCATTAAAAAATACAATATAACATATCAACAGTTCCTCACCAGACTCAGTATAGTCAGCAGCCATATAGCACTGGTCATCAGGAAGCCAGAGGTACATCAGTGCCTCAAGAAACTGCATCAGAGAACTAAGGAGAGTCTCTGGAAAGACATTAAATTAAGATACAATATTGTTATAAATAGTGAATTAACTTCATCTGCTGAAACTAACACACGTTACCAAATGTGCACTTCTTACAAATACTGAAAACAGAAATCGATAGAGAAAGGTCAACAAAATGAAATGAGGAAATAAGAAAAGCAGTGACAAAGCTTATATAATCTGTTCAATATGTTTTTGGCACAAAGTCACTTCATATAAATTCTAACTACTACAGAGCATATGGAAGCTGATGTTCATAAGAAATTAATTTGGTGCACGTCTACCAAGTCCAGCTAAATGCAACAAAATCTGGTCAAACTGGATATTTGAGGAGGAGCTTCAGATTTATGAAATGCCTGTGTAAAATTTCCATGTGCTGAAAATACCCCAGCATATACAATGATTCTACTCACCACTCAGACTGTTCTTCAGGATAAAAATAAGTGCCACCTTCAATGCTTCCTGACCCTTAAGTGCCAACACCAGTGGGCATTTTGAGCGGTCCTCTGGCTTCACACGGTGAGTCACATGCCAGAGCAGTAGTTGCAAGAGCCTCAGACACTCCACCAGTGTTGGCACATCATCCGTAGACTGCAATAAGTTCAAGCAGGAGGACAGGAGGGCTCTGTGTTCGATGACTTTCACGCAACCCTCAGCCTGGCAGCATATATTGGCCACAACGCCAACTACCACTTCCTGGGATGATTATAGGGAAATGTTTATCAATATCATATATGATAAGAACCCGATGTTTACTGAAAAATTTACCATTACCATTGATGAAGATGTGATGAATACTGCAGTAGTATTATGAGAGTTGGATCTCACCTGCAATGATTGATTTCATCTCAGGTCAGACTTTATCATATATTTGCTTTTATTATTGAATTGGTATTAGAACTAGTTTCCACCACCAATACTCTT